AAGATTATCTGATTATGGCATTCATAGTTGAGGAGGTGGTCAACACATTTAGCTTGTGGAATTCTATTATTATTGTCAACTTTTTAAAACATTATGTATGGCACATTGAGATTTTTATACAGTGCATTGTAGAATTATTTTTTAACAATATTACATCAGTCATTTACTAAAATTGAAGACATTATGCCTGTTTTTGGTACATTTTATAACAGCATGGTAACAAGCTTTTATATTATATTACCTTGTTTTATTTGAAATATGATCACTTTTGAAATTATCTAATTCGCATCTGTACAGCTACAGCTTAAAGAAATGTCTGTTTTGAAACAGCAAGATGAAGGCAGCTACTGAATCACAATCAATCTAGCTGAAAGTGCAATTTCTTCAATAACTTTCTTTGTACCTACTATATATAAAATACACGTATATAAGTGATTTTGAAAACAAGCATGCAGGTATTTGATGTTGATGGGTTTGTTATTGACAAGTAATTTATGATATTGAACTTATTTTTGCCATTCTCAACCAATCAATATGCTACACAGCCTGACGTAAAGAGCTATGGCAGCCAACTTGGATAGGGATCAACCTAGGGCTTTGTAAAACTCCTTGGAGGATTTATAACTGATTTTTGATGAGAACTGAAATCCCAATGAAATCATTTGGTTTTCATCTGCTTGCCAAATTGGAGTTTTCCTGTAGTGATAGTAGGGAATGGAAGTGCTGAGATTTGAAGAAGTTAGGCAAGACTTGATTTCACCATAACACACAGACATGGTTCCTGGAGTTAATTAGCAGGAATTATATCAAGATGAGCATTTCTAGAACAATGGCAGTGACTTCACACAATAAGTTGTCCAATTCATGGAGTCCAAACCTTTCTCCACGTTTTATGTAGGTATTTTCTTCATAAGATGACTTCATTAGTCAAAAAATTTAAATTTTGTGATATGCTCATTCAACATTGTGTTAAAATCATGAAATAACCAAATATTTCTAGAGTGCTTAAGTACTAAGAATGCTTTATCACAATGGTTTATGTCACATTTGCTAATGAATGTAAGAATAATAATATATCTATTAAGAATGGGTCATAATACTGAGTGACTGTTCAAGACTGTTATTTGATCATGGTCCCCTAATTTGAAGGTGATCATGTGGGTATGTCCGTCTGTCACCAATTTTAAAATTATTAACAATTTATTAGATGTTAAAGGTATTTGTGTTTTATATTTAAATGAAATATGAGAAAGAATTTTAAATTGCTTTTCTTTTCATTATGAAACCTACCAGCCTTAGCATATATTCATTTGTCCAGAATTAAAACATTTAATAAAAAGGTGACCTACAATCTGGATGGCAATAAGAGAGAAGAAATCACAGAGTAATTTCACTTGGTGCTGAATGTCCTTTAGGAATATTGATCACTTCCACAAGCATAAGCGTAGGTCCAAATTTATGCTGCATTTCACCCAGATATGGCTGACTGTATTTATAGTCAAAACCACATATAATAGGATGAACCTTTTTGATTGAAGGCTTGTTCTATAACCATGAACCAGAGATGAGATTTTTCCAGCTATTGGTGGATTTCTACCTTTTAGTGTTGTGTTTGTGCTTACAACAGTGAGATTTTTCTGACCAACTATTTGGGAGTCAAAAGGTCTCATTCCTGCCATGAATGGTAGGGACTATGTAAGTTTATGAAAATTACATGACCTTAAACCGATACCACTTTGACTGATCCCATTTCCATGGGATCACGAGCCTCATATTTGTGAGTATGAATGCCCAAATTAACAGCTCAAACCATGATTTCAAGGCACGAATTTAGAATTAGTTGCCACGAGCACAGCATCAAAAAGCATGAACTATTTGGCTAACTTTCATCTGGGTCATTAGCTGTACACATATGGGTTCTTTTTCTCAACCCCTGACTATTTTCAATATAGTAGAAAATATGAGTAACTGCATGTTAGAGCTTTTGAATATTTCTAGTCAAAAAAGGTTTCTACTTTGATGAAAGAGAGAGGATTCTTGATGTTTACTGCAAGGCCAAAAAAGTGGCTAGGGCTTTTGTTGACCGAATTTGAGGAGGAAAGTGATGTTAGTTGTCATTGTCTCTCAAAGCTTAAACAAGATGTACAGTAATATATGAGTAGCATGGAAAATTGTTTCAACAACTAATTCCACCAATTCACAAATATCAGTTTTCATGGATTTTCTTCATCATTACAAATAAATAAAATAAAATAAAATAAAATAAATAAATAAATAAATAAAAATTAAATAAAAATGTCTCAAAACCAATCAGACTAATGTATTTCTATAATCTATTATCCATACTGCATTTTAATTTTAATATGGCAGCAATGTGTTCTCAAAAATCTCTGGCTCATATGGAATGTAAATAAGGTAAATAAGCAGACTAACGATTTTTGGTTTGTGGCACAGTGCTAATGACTGCTAATTTTACATCTGTGCTATGAAATAGTGGTGCAAGTCATAAACTTGTGCATTAATGCCAACAATTCTGAGGCTTTATTTCACCAACATCTAATCTGTTGATAAGGCCTGGAATAGAGAAATAAACAGAAGAAATATGAGTAGAAATGCATAGACCAACCAACATGCAATTAAGTGACCAATGATTATGCAATTTTATTACAACATTGAATATTTCTGTGATAGTCATATGCATTTTATCCACCATTACACATATAAAATGTTTTACCTTTAGTCTTCAAACCTACAGAATGATGAATTTTCATCAAATTTAAGTCGAAAATTCACTAGATCAGACAATTTTTCTGAAAGTTCTGCCATTTCTTTTGCTTTTTATAGCATATTTTATCCATTGTTCTACAAATTAAATGAAAACTGTGTCATATTTTGCTTTGAAACATGCAGAACTGATTCATAGGTCCAATATACAGATCTAGTTTGATCTGTTTATATTTGTTGAAGTTATGCTGTTTTTTGTATATTAGTGGCTTTTCTTGAGATTCAATCCTTAAGCATGTTAACAGTCTCAGTATTGAACTAATTAGATTTTATTTTGAGTTTTTATTTTTATTTTTGACATTTTCAGCATCTTAACAGTCTTTTTAGTGGATTATATTAAATTGATGGTATATCTGTTAACCATGTATTTTGTCATAAAGATTCCAAAATGGAAATAAACACATATCAGTGCAGTTTGTCAAATTAAATCCCTCACAATGTCCAGAATGGAGTAAATTGGACATTTGAAATTGTTCTATTGATATTTTCCTCATTTTTTAAAAATGTTGTTAGTTGATCACTAAAATATGAAAGAAAAGTGATAATTATGTATTATGTAATAAATTGAAAATGTCAATTAACTATTTTGGTACAGTTATCTCTTGTGCACATATTGGCATGACACATAAGTGTGACTTTGAAATTTATGTTATTTGAAATTTGAAATTCAATTGGCTTGGAGACCTTTGCAAGTCACAATTTCTGAATGTGATAATGCTGTTTAACATTATGTAAAATATTGCATTAGAATTGAAGAACACCCTTTTTTGGACACTATAGTGACCTATTAAGGAAAACCATATCACCTATGATTCTCAAACTTACAAAAAATATGATAGGACTAAAACACAGCTTAATTTGGAAAAAAATTGCTTGATTGGATTCTTTTTCTAGAAGTGATGTCATTTTTAATGAAATTTTCAAGGTGTATCTTTGAACTTCCATGGACTTGAAGACCTTTAATTTACAAGTCACATTTTCTGAATATCCATGATACTCATTGTATTATTAAAATTGTTGGTGATAATGCTCTTTAGCATTATGTAATATTGCATCAAAATTGCTAAAATAAACTTGTGTAGTGTCACTACAAATGCTCTAAAAGGAAAACTTACTAATTACTTAAAACTTATTATTATGTAACTTACAAGAATCATTGACATAAAACTCAAATTGGCAAACCAGCTTGATGTCTGTACATTTGACAGCTTTGCTGCCTTGTTAAAAATGAAGTATGAATGTGATACGATATATGGAATGATGGAATAAATGAACACACAGTGGATGCAGTGCTAATTTAAATTTACACATTTGCCTGTATTTTTCATATCCGTCTGGTTGAATGGAGTCGAGCTTTAATTACTGTGCCCCTGCAGGGATGCTGCGTGGGGAGGCGTGTGAGAGGCGGAGAGACCATCACAGATTTAAGCTGTCTTTCTTTCATGTAGGTCCACCATATTTAAGTCGTGGACCAGTTATAGCACTAGGATCTTCTCATTCTGAATGGACCCAAAAATAGTATATATAAAACCAACATACATTAACTAAAAGTCTTAACTACTTGGGCAATGTGAGTGGTAAAGCATTATATGTAGCTAGGTTTGTGAATGCTTATTTTGTGAATGGCTGTGATCATGTTAAACCTTGGTAATGTAAGGAAAACTGTTGAAATCTTGAAAAAAGTTCAAATTTTGCTATATAAAGGCCACATGCTGATCATTTGCCTTTAAGAATGTATGACATAACCATTTTCCTATCTGATTTCATGATATAGTTACAGTGAGTGAATTGTTTGGGATGGGGCTAAGGAGGTGATTCAAGAAATGTTACATTTTACTTGCATAAGAAAATGTGACATCATGTTTATTACATCTAATAAGTTGTTTTGAAGTTTACTTACTTAAAAGAATTAATTATCAGTTGTTTATTAAATAATTGAATCACATGCAGTATACCTGCCACAGTGAGGATGTTTTGCCAAATTACTTCAGAAAAACATGAAAACATCGGATATGGCTGTAAACGTAGATCTTTGGCATTCTTCTAAAGTTGTGTGAGTTAAATGCACCGTATTGGAGAAAAGAGAAACTTGACCCACAGAGTTGAGTTGAGCTATATTTTATTCATTTGTTCACCATGCCAAGAAACCACTAGGCATATACTGCATTTCATACTGGCAGTAGCAGGAGAATGACAAGTTCTCATTCTCATTCCAGGAAACATAGCAGTGGAGATTTACAGAGTCGCCTGAAGACAAGAAAGCTGCTAGGAGTAGGGGAAACTGATGATGGAGATGTCCACAGATCAAAGGTAATATAACATAAAACTGTGGGGTATCTGTCAGCGTTATGAAGCCTCCTAGCTTCTGCTGATATTACCAGAGAGGAATAAGAACAGAGCATCCTCAGGGGAATCTGATTAACATCATTTGTAAATTTTTTATTTATAGTAAAATGTGAATTCTGTAAGTTTTTTCTTGTACAACATTAGATAATGGCATGCTTTTAACACCTTGTTCCTAAAGAAATTACCTTGTAGCAATACTACTAGTACATTGGCAGTACATGGATGTCAGTTTTATAATGCCATTGTTCCAATGAAAATTGATTTTAATTAACAGAATAAACTGAAGATGGTATGTAATATCTATAAGTAATAGAAATGTTGTTATTTCCAGCTTAGCCAAATTCTTGGCCACAGTGAACAGTTGTACACAAAGTTACCCAAAGGACTACGGTTATGGCAGTATATTACAGGAGTTTGGTTCTTTTTGATAGCAGTTTGGGTAGGTGACCAGTCATTTGGTACAGCAATTTCGTCATAATTAAGTGAGAAAATCTGTGAATAATGATAAGCAACAGGCACTTCACTAAATTATGGTTTTTGCTTTTGTCTTATGCTTTCATGCTTTTCCTTGAGCCCACAGCATATGACAAAACAATCAGATTTAGACTTATTGCAATCAAATCCCATTGCCAAAATCAAAAATACCCTGCAGAAAAGCAGAACAGAAATGCTATATATGGTAATGTGTGAATCAACTTGCTTGTGTTCACACCAGAGTTCCAACTCTAACTGAAACAATTTTAAAGAGGATCAGTTGGTTACATATATATGGCAAAATAGCTTTTTCCCATTCCCTTTATTTTTATTACTACATGTAATATTAATATTATTGCAATCAAAATAAACACTTGCTTTATTCACCACCTCACTTGCTTCTGTGCATATAGGTTGGCCAAGCATTAATCACAAATTTGGTTGATTTGTAAATTGGTATGACATAATGATTGGTTTCCAATGTAACTCCCAGACTAAGAAAGGTATAACCATGACAATTGGCATGGTTGATGACTAGGGTGTGAACCACAATCTTTTACCAGCGATTGGTCTTAAATTGTTTTGTTTAGGTGATATGAATGAGCCACTAATTGAAATATTCTATGAAACAAAGGCATTTCTTCACCTCTTTATGTATTAACTCACAAGTAAACCTTTCAAGAAAATTATCTGGCACAAGATTGTAGTGCTTACATTGTTGCAATTAAATGGGCATTAAAATGCTGTTGTTATTTTTTAGGGTGAAGGAGATTGTTTGAAATCGATTTTGTAGTTTTCACCCCCAAAACACGTGCTGCTGTTGCATCATCATCATCTTGAGTTAGCCAATTCAATCCAATGTATTTTTGATGTGACAGCATTAACTCATAACATGACAATGTTCATTTCCACATTTTCTAAGTGAATGAGGAAAAAATTGCTGTCCTTTAACTAGATTTGCTATATACAGGATTAAGAAGTCTGGAATTTTGTGTATTTTGTTATTTGGTGAATTCAGATGTTGCAGATACTAGTAGGTCTGCTAACAGTCTAAGGAAGTCATTTGAACTTGACTTACTGAGTGGGAATGATCTGCCAGTGAGTGGTATGAATGTGTACATGAAAGCCATGCAGGGAGACCAGGTTGCTGAATGAGGTATAACTAATTGAATGCACTGTGCACAGGTGACTTAGAAATGATTCAATCAACATTACCTTTAACATTTCTGTAAAAAGTGATTTGCAAGGTATGGTATGTCTACCTTAAATCTGGTTTTTCAATAATGTTGAAAGAATGTGCTAATCAGAGGAATTAAATTAGCTAGACTCTGAGATTGCAAACCCAAAATATATTCCTATTTCCAAACAAGAAATCAGACATATGCAAAAAAAAGGGGAATGAATGAATGAGTTAATGAATAATGACAAACATTAATCATTTGGTCATTACTCTGCAAACAGACAAAAGTTCTAATGCTGTCCTGAGGTAAATTATCATGTAGACTTGAAATGTTCCATTTAGCAAATATATTATGTCACTAAGTCACTAAACCACTTTTGGGAATTAGGGAAAGATTATGATATTTTTCACTTATGCAAGCTATTACAACAAATCTTTGTGTTGTATTGTTATCAATTTCCTGACATTTTTTTCTGTAATACATTGTGATTCTGTCTGACTGATGTCATCACAGTTGTTGCGTAGATGGTTGCTCAGCTGACTATGGGTAACATATGGAGAAGATACCAAAGGTCATATCTAAATTCTTATCTTTAATAATTCATGATAGTAATTTGGTCATTCTTGGTTGCCTACTTGACAAGGTACCTTATTTTTTCTTTCTGCGAAGATCATATAAATGTAATAATAACAGTATTATAATGAAATTATTTTATGAATTAATGAAAAAGTTTTACTTACAAATTACAATACACAGTTTGATTGAAAAGTCATTACTGCTGATTTTAACTAGCCCTATGAGAGCCATAGAGAAGATAAAATATATATATACCATATTTACCCTCAATAAATAAAGTTTAATAAATAAGTAAATGAATGAACATGAATTGTCAATGTGAACCCAGAGACTTTGCAGACTTTGTTCTTTAGTGTGTGTGCATGTGTCTGTGTGTGTGCATGTGTGTGTGACAATCTGTAGGGTCATTTTTGACTTTTACAATACAAATTTATGCAAGACATCATATAATATGGAACATTGATAATATGTTATTCTAAATAATTGGACATTTTTCAAAATGTAACATCTGTTTTAGGCATTATGTTTCCCAGCTCATTTCTTTGGGATCACATTTGATCAAGAGAACAGCAATCACTTAACTGTACCACTGAGGCTATATGGGGCAGCTCTTCTTAGTAAGTGAGAAACACAGATGACTTTGATTATGTAGTACAAATGTATGTGATAATTATATATTAAAATGACACTGAGTAACTTTTATTGTTTCTGAGCTACTTGATTAGATGTAGTATGTAATATAATTTCAATATGAATTATGTGATATTATTTCAATATGAGTTATCTTGTTGAAAATATGTCTTTAGTCCGAAGATATTGATAAATCCTTGATAATCCTTACTTCGAGAAACCTGTCGGAGATGGGTCAATCCTGCTAGATCGATCTAGGTATTGGAACAAGGTCTAAGCTTTCATAAACTTACTCCAGGTTTTATACCCATCTATGTGTTCAGAACAAATTAAAGAGGATCCAGCGTGTTGCACAGAGGGGTGGAAGACATACATGATTTCACTTCCCACACTTAATCAATAGGAAAGGGGTTGGGTCTCCTTTAACCCTCTCTTGATCTTTCTCTACATCATTGCTAATATTTCAATTTCTTAATTCTGTGTTGTTTTTTTTTTTCCTCCAGGCTTTGCCCTTCTGTTTTGGAGTACTTGGGTATCTGTGGATAAAAATGTAATCAAATGGTCTGTGGTGTCAAGCACAGTGTACTTCTCTATCCATGCTGTGGGTGAGTAATTTTCATCTATTCTCTTAATTTTAATTAAAATCTCCCTGTTTTCTCAAAGGCTCTTAGCTAATGAACTTCATTCCATGCTCTGGCCTAAAAGTCAATCCAAGCTATGACCTGGGAGTCTCTTTCCATGCTCTGTGCTAGATTTCTGGTTTCATTGTGTGAGCTAATTAGTATCATTCCATGCTGTGGGCAAGAAATCTTCAATCCATTATATTTCTTCACCATTTTGAATACATCTGTAGTTTGACCTTGAATGGTCTGCTGACAGCTGCTGCAGTAGTTTTTCATGCAATTAATGCACTTACAAAATTTTGCAAATAAACCAATGATCATGATGAATTATATCTACAGTCACCATACTATGCACAGTGACATCAGTGTATTCTATTCAAAATTAGGGAATTTGGGTGGGAAACGTGTGATTTCCTTTTGTGTGTATGACAAATATGATGCTCTGCTATCCCCTAGCCAGATATACATGATAGCATGCCTCACTATCCCTCAGCATGCTATCATGAATATTGGGCTTGTGGACTGTGCATTATTAAATACATACATTTTGATATCTGAATGCCCAGAAAACATATCTTCAATCTGTTACAACTAAAATCTAAATATTTGCATGTTTTAACACTAAGTGTGAAGGGAGTTTTCTATTACCTGCTCCTATAGACTACAGTGAAGTATAATATCTAGGGATACTAAAATCTGGGAAATGTTGACAGCATCCAGATAGGAAGCAGGAAGGAAGAATCTCTAAAGCCTTTTAGTTGTAAGTAAAATATGGCAGACAAACAGTTCAAATGGATCACTTCCATGAACTCTAGGAAAAAGGTCTTGGCACAAAGTACAGCCTATAGGGTAATTATAAAGGTATGCTCAACAATCCATATTTGAAAATGCCTCAAAGTCCTATTTTCTCTGTCTCACTGTCATGCAAACCTACTTATCTTTCCCCTTTCAGAATATGATAAAACTCCTCAAAAGCACTTGATGTTGTTATTTCTTTCTGAAATGTACAGGGAGACTTAACGGTTAATTAAGTGACTGACCAGTTATTTAAAACAAAATCATTTAATTATAAATGGTATAAAATATCAGATCTAATTGCAGGGTCTGCTCAGCAATGATTCTTGAGTAGGAGAAAATTGCTGAAAAAAATTCAATTTGACGGGAAATCCCTGATAGCTAGGATGCTAGCTAGTACCTTTAAACATGTGACTAAGACCCGTAGAAAATAAAATGGAAATCAGTTTTGTTTCTGTCCACAAAGGTGGTTTTAGTGGGCTTATTTTAATGTACTAAATGTACACACACACATACACACACACACACACACACACACACACACACACACACATGACCCTGGTGTTGCTTAATTCAGAGGCTGCAGTTTATCTCGAAGATGAAATCTGTCTAAGCACTAAGAGATGATCATAATTTCCCCCAGGATTCCCACATAAAGATTGCCAACAAGCCTAGGATAAATTGCAATAATAGGTGCTGCTTCACAGGAAATGAAGAGAGCCTAAACCGACATCATGATTAATGTTATTTAAAGCAGTAAACATAGTTTAAGCCTCCATTAGAGACAGGCTGTCAGGAGTGACTGCTGCAGTCTAGCAGTAGTTTTTACCCTCTGATATCAGGGAGCTCTAAAATAGTAACAGACTACTAGTGGATGCTGTGACTAGAGAGTAAACATTAATTGTCATATTTACATGGTTATCATGTTAATAAATTGAAGATGTGATCCTTAATAAATGTACAAAGTTTAATTTCAGATCACTGATGCAGACATTGGGGGAATGAATTTATTGCTAGCTATGATTTTTCATTAAATTAGTTCTATTGTCTGCTCCATAGTCTAGTCATTTGTATCTTGTATCTTTTCTTTCTTTCGGTTATTTTTCTTAGTTGTTTCTTTAAAATACTTATTTTACAATATAGATGTTTAAAAAATTCTTTTCTATTTTAATCATATAAATTCAGATGTTGTAAGACATTCTTTTATCAATTTTTCATTACAGTTAGCCTTGGAACATTATTAGTGAATGGAGGTGTGTCCAGGTATTCTGCCTTGTTGTTGTTGTGTCGCATGGGTTTCATTGGAGTAAGCATCTACTACTACCTGGCACTGGACAGTAAATTGATTCACTTACAACGAATGTGGGGATGTGTAAATCAGACTGGCGAATCGTCCTCTGCCGCCACCCCTAGCCCCAATGGAGAAGGGGGCACCTGGAAAAAGGAAAACTGATACTGAAGAATTGAAATGTTTGCCTTTGTTATCCTACATTCTCCTCTTGGCATTTACTTCTTGCATTCTGGAGTAATTAGTATTGATTACAAATACAAGCCACTTGCCAATGTGTTTTTGTTAAAACTGTGGGGTTTGGAGGGCACATATATAAGTAGCTTGCCATTTCGTATGTGTAAGAGCCAAGGGGATTGCAAGGCACCCCATATATATATAGACATTAGCCCACTTAGTCTCTTAATAAGGCAAAACCCTCCAGCAGAAGCAGAGAATTGGCATAATGCCAACAAAGAGTAAACAGAATAATGCTCTCAGTTGTTACCATTTCTCCAGTTGTATTTCTCTTTGATGGCAGGAAAAGTTACCAGTTAGGTACATTTATATCTGACCTGTTCAACAAAAAGGTAAAAACAGTCAATGGTAATTTAACTTCTTATTGCTGCAGTTCACTGGCTTGTCTGAAGTGTTGTGAATTAATTGTCACAAAAAGTTCAGAAGTAATGTCTGCTATTTTCACTGTAGGACATTCATGTATCAGCATGGTGCATAACTTACAACTGACAGAGAGGAAACCGGCTCTGAAAGGATGCACGTTTACATAAGCAGTGAAAAACTGCTGCATTTGAACAGATGGAAAGTTTTGTGCAAAAATCCACTACATTCAGAAGTGGCGTTCCAAAGATGTTCAGTTTATTGTTTCCCATCAGGGTGGATGTTTGTTGTCATTTGTTTTCTTGTCAACATGGCTTACTTGTTTATTATCTCATATCTTCCCCTAACCATGTGCGTCAGCTGTTCTTTTATTGGAATCAATAAACTGTATTTTAAGGACCAATTTTCATTTTTGATGTAAAAGTTACAAAGATGCTTTAGTAACAAAATAAGTGGGCAGTGTTGTAAAGAAATCACATGAAGAGTAGTATTTGGTAAAATCATGTAGTACAAAGGTGGCCTTACTACTAATTAAAATGAGTTGTTTACCTGGGGTATGGGGGGGGGGGGAGACATGCCTGTTGTATTATGTTATCAGTTTTAATTTAAATGAGATATATAATTGTACATTTTAATATGAAATGTAGTGTTTGTAAACATATTGGTCTAGTATATAATTTATCAGATGTAATATATAGTGCAATATTTCCAGGGTGTGGCAGGTACTCCTAGCACTATCTTATTTCCAGTGTTTTCCAAACATCAAAAACTAAAAGTGCTAAAAGTGTGTCCTCTTATACTGATGCTGTATGTCAGTCATATGTTTTGAAAAAAAAAAAAAACACAGTAAATAACGACACTTTTCATGTAATCAAATGGAGACAAATAATTTGACTAACAATGACTTTTTGATAAATACCTTGTTACCCTTAGCAAAGAAAAATTTGCCAGTAAATAAATATCAGTTAGTTAAAACAATAGGTCTTTGCTATAATATTACCGTACCATTTCATAATCTCAAATGATGCACTATTTGCAGACTAGTGTATTCCTCTAGGTATATCTGTCACACAGTTTTAACTGGGAATAATTTCATAGGTACTGAAGCTTGCATATAGTAAACCTTAATGTGCAATTAATGTACAATGGCAAAATGAGTGTAACAGCATTAAACATATTATGAAAATTCTGTTTTCTTTTTTATGTTTATAAGATTCAAGATCTAGAATTCTAGCATGAAGAAAAATCAGATATGTCAAAAGTGGCATGTTTGTTTTATTTTTGTCTCTGAAGATTTTATATTAAGGATACAAAGGGGGTCTATTTTTATTATTTCTATGTAAAAGAAACTCTAGTTGAGCAGAATGCAAGGGAATACAACATCCATTTGCCAAATAGAATCATGTATCACCTCCCACATTAATTAGATTATCTTTGGTTTCTTTTATGTTTTTCAGTGTTGCCAGATATTCCCTTTCTCAAAGTCAACAGACTTCCATCACCTTAACAGAAATTCTTTGAGAAAAATAAAATCTTACGTTTACAGTAAAAATAATATTTAAATATGATTATTTCAAATCTTTTGGTGCTTCATGAATAAAATTACTGCCTTTCCTCAGTCCTCCTGTCTTAATTGAAGTAAGAGACCCAATTCATGTCAATCGTTATTCACCTAAAACTGTGTTACATTATTTATTGATTTTGTATGCAGTGTAAAACATACTTCTTAATTAAAAAGTTCATATTTGTAGCCAATTTATTGACACTGTAGTATAATGTCATGTCCTACTTTTCTTCTAAAAACAAAATTAGTGCTGCTCCCTTCTCATTATATCCTGGATTACGTGCTTTTGTTTTTTGTTTTTTTTTTCAATTACTTGTCTCTAGAACTTGGCATTAAAGATGGCTTGGGGCCACTGAAGACCGATCTTGGGCCAGTGAATAACAGGGGTTACTGGCCCGAAGGGCAAGTAATATTTAAAGCGCCAAGTTACCCTTGTAATATTTACTGGCCCATAGTGTGAAAGTTAGTGTGAAGCCCTGTTCTCATACAATTTTTGCTTTTATGACAGGTCAGAAGGGGCGAGATAAATAAAACATTCAAAATAATTGTCACTATTGTTTTTTTTTTTTTGTTTGTTTGTTTTTACAGATGATAGTAAAGACTTAAATGAACATTTTTGCCACATTTTAAGAAGTTAAAAGCAGGGTTCCTCTTAACTGAACTATTTTGTCTTACATGATTACACACACACAAAATGATTTTGTCATTTTCTTTTCACACCTCTTCTCCCTCTTTTGCTCCCATAGCCTTGCATTGTATGGTATAATCTCAATTTTTTGTTTCGATAATTTTAGAGATAAAGGGGTTTTAGTAGCAAGTTATTAAAAAACTGCTTATAAGTTACAGACCAGTGAAAATCCAGTGTTTTTGAGTTTTGAAAATGTATGTACTAGTAGTCTTTAAAGACAAAGACAAAGACAAAGTCTTAGATAGCATTGATTTTCACACAAGGAAAGTACAGTGTATCAGTCTTTGTAAACTGAAGGAGTGATAACATGCCACAGACAACTGATTACAGTTTCCTTTGTTTTGTTTTTTTATTGATACTATATCCAAGTTACTGGAAATATATCTTAGTTACAAACCACTCGTCCTTACACAATCAATAAATACTCTTTTTTTCTCTCTTAAAAATGTCTTTCAATTATATTGACTACAGAACTAATGGAGTGATAAAGTTAACACATGCAAACCTTTCATATTTTTTCAATGTAAAAAATGCTCCAACCCTTTCATAAAATTACATCCAGAAAGTGATAAGTGAACGTGATAGTACAGATATCCAATCATATTCATTATGGTCCATTCATAGGAAAAAATCATTTTGTTAAAATCACAGCAATTTTCCACTACCTACATAGTAATAGAGTATTTGCTAAATTAAGTGCGTGAAAACTCCATTGGTTGCCAAACCATGGGGAACAGACCTCAGTACTTTACATGCTTCAGTAACAAATCACGTCAGATCCTCTTCTGACGTCATTCCATAATTAGTAAGGCTATTTTCAGCTACATCAAGTAAAAAACCTAGCATGACAAAAGAGACTTCCCTGACAGAACCATATCTCCAAGCACTAACTGAAAATACATGCCAATACAGCTTCAATTAAAACTAGAGTTATTGGCAGTATGTATGTTCACAGCACTTAGGAACACCTGCTCTACAGGAAAATGTTCTGCTTTATAAATATTAAACCTACCAATAGTAATCAGTGTCTAACCTCAAGAAATCAAGGCATTCCCAAATATAATGAGACATGTTTCAAATTAATTCTGAAGAATGACAATTTCTTCCTAGTGATTAATACTACATGAAACACCTGTCAGGTCAGTAGACAAGCACTGACCACAAATTTACCAGAGACTGAGACAGGATTAATATCAGGGCTTTACACAAGGAAATAGCTGGAAGAAATTGTAATGTTATTTTGTACTTGTTTTGTACTTTTACTCAAAATGCACTCCCATAAAACAAGCAGTTGTATCAGATCTGAACACTTATGAATACTTCAGTCTCAGTGGGACTTCCAATGGACATATTCTAAAAGTTAAGTCAACCCTTTCTATTGAGAAGATTTCTAATTATATTCAGTCAGAGTAAAACAAGGTAGATTTAAATTCAGAGGCATGTGTAGGTTGTAGGCAAAACTATTCATGAGCATAAAAGGGTAAAAAAACGTTTTTGTCTGCTTGTTCAAATCTTACAAATCCCAGGATTCTTACACAGCATGGATATCAGTCTTCATCACTGTCATCGCTACCTCCACCATGTCTCTGATAACCAAATACAGTCTTTTTCTCCTCCTCCTCTCCAGCAAATTCTATCACTCCTGGAAATACAGATTATAAATTTAATCATAATATTGATACAATCAAACTATCATAATAGTGCAGGAAGTGTGTTGTTGAAAAACATAAAGTGGAGTGTTGTATAGATTGCAAATGGCACTGGCTGTGTTTCTAAAATTGGTTTACACATCCATGGCCATATAAACTATGGCTGGTTGAATATATACAGACATGGTTGAATATACAGACATGGCTTCTCCCAATAATGGGTGGTGTGTCTTATTACTTTTCAACCATCTAGCTAAGAACCTGATGTAAAAGGCTAAGATTGAGACAGCATCTTCATTTTTTTCCTTTTTCAGTGGTTTAAAGACCTTATGTTTACCTAAAAGACTATAATTAAGGATCGTGAATTGTATTTACCTACCCATCTTAATAATTTACAGAAAGAACATTACTTAAATTTACAATATGTTTGTCAGGTATGTCTAGACAGATTAATACCATCAGCAAAATAAATAAAATAATTGTCTAGTGTTTTTCCATTTAGACCTTTTCATAGCAGCTAGGAAGTGCTATTCAGCACATCTTTAAGTTATACAAGCTGAAACCATACAAACCAGTGCTCACCTGATTTCCCCAGTCTTCTTTCTAAGGCTTCAGTTTGAAAATGATCTGAATCACCCAAGTCTTCAAAACCAATTAACCTGAAAGTGCAGTTATGCATGCAGACACTCATATATATATATATATATATATATATATATACAGTGTTTGCCTCTTAGGAAAATAAGTTGCTGGACCGAAAGCTCAGCCACCTTGAAAATTAGCTGGCTAGAATGCCTGCTGGGTGGGAAAACTTCTCTGCCCATTCTGAAAGTTGTCTGCCCCGGGCAGACGGTCCAGCCTTAATTTCTAACACTGTATATATATATATATATATCCTAAGTACAAAGGGCTTTCTTAACCTGAATTATAATTTCTCCTAGGCAATATCAACTGATTTTATTGTAACAGGTGCTTCTGAAGAACTGTACTGAAAATACTGATAGAGCAAGTGTTGCTTTGTTGCAATAACCAATACTTCGTGCTTGTACCACATCTCACAAAAGTGGCCTATTCAGACTTCATAAACAGTAATTGGTAAGATTTGGGAGCACAAATTCACAACTCAAGCCACGAATTAAGCACCCAAATGTAAAATTAGTAGCCATGAACACAGAGTTGGACCACACAAAAAAATTTGACCAGCTTCCATCTGGGTCTATGGCTTCCTTTTTTTAATACGACATCAATATGCTCTTGGCAACTTCAGGCTTATATGAACATACCGGACAAGTAGATAAGCAGATTAACGGTTTTAGGGTCCAGTCGGTGTGCTCGTAGCTACTAATTTTACGTTAGAGTTCTTAATTGTGGCCCGAGTCATTAATTTGGGCATTTGTGCTCACACATCTGAGGCTTAAGTTTCTAAGGCCTGCTTTAACTACAGTACTGCTGGCATACTTCAAGTTCATGAATGCATCAGATGTTCTGAGGAAAGAACATTGAATATCAAAATACTTTCTTTTTCACTGTGTGTTTCTTGGACAAATGGCAAGAGGGGTTTTGTGAGAACCTACCATGAAGGAAAAAAGTGAGTGAGCAGGCAAGTCTAGATAATATTACTGCTAGTTGAGCAATGCTGTCCATTTATAAAATGCTACTTACTTGTCTATTACTTTTCCTTCACGAAAACAAAAAAGAGCTGGAAGAATGCGGATTTTCAGCTTTTCTACAAAGAATTTGGCCTTTTCTACATTAATTTTTGCAAACTTTGTTTCAAAATATTTTTCTGAAAGTTTCTGAAATGAAAAATAAATTAATTGTATGAATATAAATTTCCTTCACCATTCTCAAATATTGTTGGATATACTATGAGTACGAGTAGTGCGAATGGCAAAATGGTACTGAGATTGGAGAATGTTTTTGAAACTGCAAGATTTAAAATGACTCTTAAAATAAAGACTGTAGTCAGTTCTTGAATACATCTGGACATGAATAAACTTATAAAGAATTTTTTGCTAAAATTAGTGAAATTTCACCTGTAAATGACCATCTAATATTGCACAGCGTCTAAAGTCGGGATGAAAGAAATGTACTATACATTTTTCTTCTGATGTTGTGAGATCTAAAAATTCTTTTTCTTCTGTCAGTTCACTGAAATCAAATTGTTTCATAAAATAAATTACATGTAAATCTTTCTACATGATATTTTTGTCCATGTTTTACTCCTTACTGCTGCTATAAACCACTGAATTCCTGTGCTTTAATCTTTCAAAGTTTCGATATCAAAACATAATAACAAGAAATTTGTCAGAAAAAATAATATGTATTCATTACGTATATGTCTGTTCCCTGTTCTGAGAAGAAAACTTCTGATTCTAACACCCAAATTGTGGATAAATGCCATAAGTGATATTAAGAAAGATGGGTACATGAGGTATTAAATAAAATAATGAACACAGCATAGCTGGTATTGTTTTAAAACCATTTCTACAACAATAATCATCTTTGCACCTATAGATTCCATATCCTTTGGTCTTCATTTCTTGAAACTGGTGAGCTTGACGTTTCAGAGCTTCTAGTCTTGCCTCACGAATGTGAGCTGGGATCTCTTCATTTTCTAATTCTTCTAACAACCTCTGTAAATATGAAACCTTAACATATATTTCATAAGAAGACGTGAATAAATGGTATCATTCCTGGAATCAACAACATTTATTCGATTTGAAAGAAAGGAAATATATATTTGCAGTTCACTTTGCTTTTCCTAGCTACGTCATACATGTAAAAAAAAAACTAATTCGAACTTAGGTTCTGTATTACTTACTAATGTTTTGCATTTCACAAGATTTTGGTGAAAGGCTGTTTTATTAAGAGGTAGGCCCCGACTTAAAAAAACACCGACCCCCACCAAGTCTTTATGTTGTGAAAGCGGTGTGAAAGTTGATAAACGCTTAACGATTGTATATAATGGTAGTTTGCCATCTGTACTTAATTATCGGTGTAGAAATTAAGCCCACAACATCATAACCATTCCACACGTATAATTTTACTATACCCATAATTTCTTACCTCCTCTGCCAGTGATTCATCTGCAAGTAATTGCTCGGCATCTTGTGCTGTTGCTGAGGCCGCCATATTTAAACTAAAGGGTGCGCCCAGAAGATGCCTTCAAATTCAGAAGATCGTCATTGTACAAGCAAATACAAAATATAATTTTGGCATATTTCTTATTTATGTGATTAAATGAGCAAAACGTGATTGCGTTAAATACCTCTAGCATAATATCTATGGTATTGATTGATGCACATTTTGATACACAAATATAATTCTAGACATTTTGGCTTATCTTGGAACTGAGTGCGCGCGTTATCAAATTTCGAGTTGGTCTACTCAAGGAGTTATAACATCTGTTATAACTCCTTGGTCTACTCAAGATTATAAAAACAGACCGAGATGCTTTTCAGATTTCCTATACTTCGTTTTTAAATCTTGAATATACCAGCACTAAGATCCAAACTACAGTCTAATTTTTTCATCCCTCTCTTTTCAGTGAGATAAAGAATGACACTCAAAGTGAAACAAGAAAATCTTTTATTACAAGTCCTTACAAATAGCATAGAAGGGGGCCGTAGCAATAGTCCGAAGGTTCAATAGTCCGAAGGTTCATTGGTCCGAATGTTCACTACAGAACCTTCGGACCAATGAACCCTTGATTAAAAAAACCGATAAAAATGTTACCGTTTTTCGGACCAATTAACCTTCGGACAATCGAGACGCCCCCCATAGAAGTACGCGTACTTCTAAGCAAATATATTGAATTTATTCTTCACTCTCTCTTTCTCAAAGACATAGACTATACATGTACATTTACATGTAGGATCGATCTGCCTAATTAACCACCATAAACGTCCACAAACGAAAAAAAAAAACTTATTAAAAAAAAAAAATATATATATATATATATATATATATATATATATATATAACTGATAGGGATTGATACTCCCTTTCACCAATACTGGCGGATTTAGAGGGGGAGTGAGGGGGGTCCTGACCCCCA